TAGACTTGGTGCACAGATTAGTATATTATCAAGATTTCTCTGTTATTATTCTCAGACATTTGAAAACATGGTATCCTACCAGATGTCCTCAATTTCATTTGCCTGTCAGTACACCACAAATTAGGATTTTGCCCTAGTGTCACAGTGACCTTGACTTTTCCCAGGACTGAAAACTCTTTTATAACCTTTCTATAATGTAGACTGGAAATTATGCTATTTAGAGTGACATTTATTATTTCCGTTTTCATATTGTCTTGAAGCAGAGTACACCTTTAAGCTTATTTGGCTGCAACAATTAAGGACTCGTATGAATATTCTGCACATACCATTTCTTAAACACACACTATCCATTCCTGAGGACAAAACTGAATGAGACCTTTTGAATTAGAAGGCTATAAGAAAAAAAAGATATGCAGATTTTTGTCTCTCTAACCTGTGCTAAAGGTTTTACTACAGTGTACTCACTGTGATCTGACACCAAACACAGTGAAGTCCAGTCAAGCCTTGGTAACATTTTATAGTTTTGTGACACTTATCACATTTTGTTGGACAATTTCCTTCTACCCAGAAATGGTGCATTACCTGCAAAAGAAAAATGTGGATATACATAGGGTTACTAAATTAACAGGTACATGGCAAAGTTAATGCTACCCCAAACTTACATCAGTATTCTTTTTGGACTTCACATATGTTTTGATGCAAGATGCAGGAGCTCTTGAGACACAGCGTTCATGGACTGTATACTTGCAAACTGAAAAAAAAGAAGCACATTAATAGATGTTGAGGCAATGGTGTTTCTGACTACAAATAATGTTACCAGCATGCCATCTCTATGTAATCAATCCAATCAGTCAATGAAAGCTCAAACTAGACTGCTTTTTCCATGGAATACAAAAGACCAATTAGAACAGGAAATATTATGCAAGTGAGAAATCCAAGAATGCACTATCATTGCATAACAGGAAATGCTTAATTAAATCAGAGCTCACTACATTTTTTTCACAATAATTCCCAAATGACAAAAATACTAAACACAAACTGATGACTGCCAAATGGTTTGGTGTCATTTGCTATTAGAAAAAAATCTATATTTTACAAACTATAGGCATGAGAGCAGCTGGCAAGCACAAAAATAAAAGCCAATGAATGTTCCTTCTATTGATTTATAAATTTTAAATGGCCGATTAGTCCATTTTTAGATAGCAATTGTTTTCATGCATTCAATGTAATAGTCCCATCTTTAACTCTTACTTTCCCAAATAATACAACCTTTTAACCCTTCCATAACTACTATTTCCCTAACCCTTCCGTAACTACTATTGCTGACCAGGTCTGCAAAGATCACACTAGCTGCATTTGGAAAACATACAAATGTCAGGGTACAATGCAAAGTTCTCATGACTTCAACTATACAGCAGTGCCTAGATGAGGAAAAAAATGCTACAGCTTATACCTGCATTCAATAGATCCAGCTATTAAAAACTGAGAATGAATTTCTCCCTGCATGGTATATGTCTCACACTTTTGACCTCGAGAGCAATTAAGCACAAAGTACTTCTAAACACCTTGCTTGCACCTATTACACAAACCCAGTGGGAGGCGCAGCCATTAATCAGACAAACTGTAGGGAGTAACATTGTTGATTGGACCATGGAGGGAAGGTGAGGCCCCCTGCAGTTTCCTTTTTTTTTTTATTTCTCCCACATAATCTAAAATGCAAATAATGAAACCTATTGCAATGCTTTGAAAATATATTGGAGAAGCAGCTTAGCGAGATAAGGAAATAGTGTAAGTTTTGTAAGCAGACTGATGTCCCTTGCTGCATGAAATAACTGAAAGCAGCATGTGGATGTTCTTCAGATACTCTGGGACCATCATTCTCACCAAATAAGTTGCCAAGCACAATAACAGATTTAAAGAGGTACACTGCAGCTTTTCTCTGCTCCTGTAAGGCTGGTCTTTTTGGGGCAGTTCACTTTATATCACTCATCTATACATTTCTGATAATTACTGAAGAAGATGATCTACAGCACTTGCTCCATAGAATTTTCTCTTTCAAACATATATGGATCTTGTATTTCTACGTAAAGATTAAGCTTACATCAGTCTGACATAAAAGAATATTAAAGAATGTAACATTTCAAGATTTAACAGTCAATTCAGCATTTTATATATATATATATACATTTATATATATATATATTCCAGTTACTGTCATCAGCATATTAATCTGAAGACATGCAATTTCTATTTGTTTGAATTTTAATAAATGTATCTCTCTCATTCAACAGTATTATGAATGAAATCATACAATGTGAAAACCTGTATGTGGAGGATTTACATCTGAATTATGTTTTAAAGAGTTCTGTAGCCCACAGAGGAGAGAGAAATGGCCGACTCCAAAACCCTCATTCATTCAGACTAATCTCAAATTAAATCAATAGAACTACATAGGCAGAAAGGTCCTGATCAGCTGTGATGGGCTACCTTTCATATCAAAAATGAAGAAAGTAAGTTACACTAACTGATTAATTTATCAAAAAGAACAATGAAAGGTGACTTGATACCATCATGAGAAGAGTACAGTGGGTACTAAAGATCTCATTAATCTAATGGAGCAGGGTATAACATGAACCAATCATCAGAACCATCTACCAGACATATTCAAATCAGAAAAAAGGTCTTTGTTAAAAAAGATGATTAATCATTGGAACACACCGCAAAGACAGACATGGATCATCCATCTCTTGAAACACTCAAACAGAGACAAGATATCTTTTGGCAAGATTTGGTTTCTCAAGATACAGGTTATGAGCTGGTCAAACACAGATTATTAGGAGATAAAGAGATGTAACTCAAGGAATTAAACTGTAGTAACTGCATCTAATAGTCTAATGAAAGTCAAATAAGGTACAGTATTTATTCTGTGCTACTTTACGTTAAAAATCTATAATTAGTTAATATGTGAAAGGATGACAAGACTGAGATTCATTATTACAAACCACGTAAGCATACAGAACATTAGAAACATTCAGAAACTCGATTCCTGGGACACTGAGATTTTGCACTTCACAATTAACAAAACAAGAATTCTGTGCAAAATCTGAATTAACAAATACGGGACTTAGATGTTAGTCAAGTTGACACCTATTAAAGAATATTTTTGAATTATTAAAAATACTAAAGAGGATTAACAAAAATATAAGGTTGAAACTTAAGCATTATACTTGCTAAGGGGAGGAGATAAAAAAAAAAAAAAAAGCAGACTCCAAAGAGAACTAAAGAACTAACACTGAGAGCTATTAAAATACTGAAAACTGCCACAAACAACAGTTTGAAAGCCTCATGTCCTGAAAACTTAAAAATGGAACCTTGAGTGTTCATGCACTGAACACAAAGGGGGAAACATTGTGCTGGCAGTGGGTTTGTACTGGGAAGCTACTAGTTCTTTGTTATGCAGTGAGCGCAACATTTCTAGTAATAGACATGTATGCAAATAGACACTGAAATGCTTATACTCACAAGAACAGCAGAGACCTTGCTTGCCTACTCCAATTAGCATGTTCAAACAAAGATTACAGTAGGCAGGCTTGTTAAAATGTTTCAGTCTCCATACATGCTGCCCATCATCTTTCACATTCTGCACAGGACATAAAAGAAACAGATTTCACTTAATAAAATAAACAACAAAATACATAAGTGCCAATAAAAATTGGAGATTGACTCAAGAACATAAAAGACAAGCTGTTACTTCATTTAATACTCTGCACCAGATCATGGTATAATCATTCTAAATACACAGGCAATGATATAATAAAAAATTCTTCATAAGCTCATGGAAGTCCATGTGTTTCAAAAACGACTTAGAAAAAACTCCAGGCTGCTGTCACCACTGCAACACAGTGCTAGCAGTAAATCTAGGCTGATACTATAATTAGTATTAAAACTAACTAAAATTTGTTCTAGACTAATTCTAAAAATAAAGGTGCTGCAAGTTAGAAGGTAAGACTCTGCAAAACGAACAATGGAAAAGATTTTTTTTAAACTACAGAGATATTCTTAATGACTCTTAGAATTAGGGGCATGTATCAACTTATCTGAAGGGCAAAATCTAACCACACCACAATGATACCTATTGCAAGCTTTAATTTATGTTAATCTACTGCCAATAGTCTATCAAAAAGCAAGTATTTATGGGTGGAGTTTACATCCTGGACCTCTTATCTAAGAATTGGATTCTATACATTTAAGCCTACATTCTTCAATAAGCTGTAGCACTATATACTCTCACATGAATAGACCGATCAACTGACCGGCACTTACAACTCAAAGGCCCCCTGTAACTAATGCATTCAAGTGAAATATTATAAAATCATTTAAGTTTATAAAAGTAAGCTTTCAGTTGAACAATTCTCTTCTTCCTCCTTAATAGAACTATTCTGAGACCTTACTGTTACTAGAAGGTTTTTCAAATGATGTGCACTTTGTACAGATGTTAGATTAGTTCCATAAATTCTAGGTTTCCTGGCAAGTGTGGTCATCAGACTTTTTTCCTTTCTGAAAACATCAGAGGTTTCGGATTTTTTTTTTAATAGATTAATTAATTAATTAATAATTAATTGGTTTTGGTTTTTTTTTTTTTAGCAAATATAACATCCAGTGGAACAAAGGCAGTTAATGTCTATCAGCTATAAATGGGCTGCAGTAGTTTGATTCTTCATTACATATTACTGAAACACTATGGTCTTCTTGGTCATTTCACTACCAAAAAGAAAATGTAACTTAACTAAAAGAAGCCACATCAACAGCTGGTTCACATCCAGTTTGATTTCTCACATCAAACTACAAAAACAGTCATCATATATAAAATATTCCTGAATAGATCTTCAATAATATGATGGTTGTCACTGATAAGGACAGTCAATGTAAGTCAGTGGACAAAAATTTTAATAAAAATTCAGTTTTGTCCCACATTAGCATGTGAGTTATGTCGCTAAAAATCAGTGTTGCTCTATTCTAAGAATTAGTCATTAATGACAAGTCAAAAATGATGAAGACTTCTTTATTCTATTGGGAGGAAAAAAATAATAATCCTGAAGGAAAATTAACACTCCAAGAAATTAAGAATGTTTGGTCCAAAGCCAGGTCCTAGACAACTTTGAATAATTCCTATAAATTATCTAGAAAAAAAGAGGAAATGAAATAAACTGGAGTATTTTTTCTCTTGACATCAGGATCAGAGCCTAAGTGGAGTTTCCCCAACATTATCAGCAGGAGTTCAAATGCCATCTCTAACAGCTAGGCAATGTCAGGGTCTTCTTTCTGCAGAAAGAGCAAAGCAGATGCCTAAAGTGGAATTTTCAGGCTGGCAAAGTGTGTGGAAGTTTTCCATTTTTCCCTGAAGAAGCAGAAATAGATTCTGCAGCTGTGGAACACTAGAAGCCTCTCAAGCTCCTTCATGACTGTCAGCTGAAGAGGATGTATTTCATTAAATGGAGCTCTGTAACTTGTATTTTTCTTTCCATCTTACTACCATATTCCACACATTTTTAAAGTATTGTTAAACTACTATATAGAATGTGAGTTTCAAGTCTTCTGACAGTAGACAGTTATTCATTAGAAAATAAAGACCATGTAAATCTTTCTGAGAAAAAACAGTAAACAATGTACACTTTCATTTTAACACTATTCAGGTCACCAAAAGATACAGTCATAAACCACTAGCACTTAAAATGCAAGCTGACCAGCTTTCCTTAGCAAAATATTTGCCATCTCTGAGAATTAACAAAAATGCATAATTATGCATAATTATGCATTGCCCCTCATCCACATTAGTTTTGTGTTATTTTTAAATTTTAATTTTATTTTTAAAGAATGGCTATTACATGTGAATATGTAGCTTCTTATTTGAACAGAACATATGGACTAAGTTAGCTGGCATTTTCCTTATCAGAAAAACAAACAAGTCTTGATGTGGGTGTTCTGCCAATTAAAACGCTTAACTGTATTACAGACTGCAACTGATGCAAATCCATTATATAAACACAATGCACTTTTGGAAAATAGCAAATTAAATTTTTGCTCTTCTGCACTGCCAAAAATAAGCAATAAAGTGCTGCATATGATTATGTGGGCACATAACTTTTTAAAACACTACCAAGAAAAAAATAAGACAATGTGAAACAAAGCCCCCTCAATGCAAGTCTTTAAGTATGAATAAAATCCACAATTCTGACACATCAGTGCATTTACTGACATTCACTCATTTTGCTTCCATATCCTGAGAAATAGTTTAAAAACAAACAGTCATTAAGAAGATCTCAAAGTAGGGCAGGTACAGTAAAAATCTCTTCCTCACTTCATTATACACCACTGAAAACGAAGCCTCCATATGCCATATGCAGACCTCAGCACATAATGACAACAGTAACATTTATTTTGTTAAAAACAGTTCTCTTAACTTATGGTCCTGAACTATCAACCATGGATTTGAATGCCAAAAGGACTTGACCTTAAAAAGCAAGTCAACCATGAAAGAGCCAGCCCCACAAGTAGTGGAAAATTGTATGCCGTCACAAAATTTAGCTACACAGCCTTAATCTGGTTTAATATTAACTTACTTCAGCTTTTTAGATATTTGTAAATAAAGGTAGACAAAGGGATCTTAAGGTTTCAAGCACAGAAGTCAAGATTTTGAGACTTAAAAAAGTAATTAAATCACCTGATAAATTTTCATCCTAGCAAGTATCCCCTCTTACAATAGCTGCAGAGTGTCTGAAATGCCAGCATGCTCAGTTTTTTCTACGAAAAGTCAGCAACAAGCCAATGGAGAAGGATGCTAGTGGGTCTCCTAAGTTATTTTTTTGCTGCCTACTGTTATTTTGTTTTAAAAGTATTTACGTGACTTGAAGACATTTTTATTACTGTATAATACCCAAAGATTCTTCATTGTGAAGGTGAGAAGAGTGTCCATCAAACCACACAGCACCTCCTTTTAATGTAAACACAGTTAAATTCTATATTTCTTTGCTGGCTCTCAGCAAAGAATTAATGTCAGGTTTTGTTTTGTTCAAATTGGTTTAGGGGAAGGGGGTTCTAAGTCTCTTGTGGTTCAACTGGAGAGGGAGTAACCTAATTTGAAAGACATGCTACTTGAGAGGGCTCCTCACCTCTAACTTTCAGGATATTTTGTGTATGTCTCTGTGTGCGTGCTGAAGAAAGGAAAACAAATAATAAGCCATGCTACTATGTTTCCCTGTCCCTAAACTTGCAGTCACCTGTCATCTGCAGAGTGAAATGCTACAGAAATTACAGTTTAAATAGTGGTAAATTTGTATACCTGCATGAAATACCATTTATTTTACACCTGACAGACAGAACAGGTTAGAGTTACTCCTGACTTCTGCCAGGCTTTGTTAACCTACAGGTAAAAGAAATGGCAGGACTGTAATAACGAATGGTATTTGCAAACTTCCCACACAGAAGTGGGAGCTAGCACAGCATAAAAGTAGACAGCACTGTCAAGAAAAGAGAAGTGCACTTTTTTAGCAGCTCCTCCTATGAAGTCTCACAAAGCATTAACACTTCCCCCTCTGCTGGCAATGCCGTGAAATGATCCTGGTAAAACAGCTCCCATTATCACTTAGGGTGACACGGCTTCCCAGCTGGTAAGCAGCTGGCACAAAGAGGGTAAGCTACAGCTTCTTCTAGCAGAAGTTTTGCTCTCTGTATGTATGGAAACAGCATATGGCTCATTGGCACTTCAGCCTTTTAGAAAACTCCCGTGCCAGACTTCAGACAGGACTTACAAAAATATCACTGGGAACAGTGAAAGGCCAGATCTCTCTCATTCCTCACTGAATAAAAGAAATATAACTCTGTGAAACTGCCTACGTATTAAACAGTCATTTCAGACTTCAGCCTGAGAGAGATTCCTCATGGTGCAACAAATCCCACATCAGACTTGAAAATGTTTGCAAGTCCCCAGTTTGCTTCCACTTTCACATACTCAGAGCTCAAAAAGTAAATCAACAATAATGTAATACACAAGAAGCAGTATTTCTCAATGCGTATTGATACTCTAGTATTCCATCACACATTTAATAAAAAATGTTAAAAAATAGTTACTTTTTAAATTCTTTGAGTGTAATGGCATAATATTTGCTGCTTGAGGATCCAAATTAAAATTGTAAGAGCATTTCTTTCTTATTTAATTGAAGCACAGTCACACTTCAACTCAAATGTCTGTTTCTCATTGAGATTTACCTTAATTTAAAAGGTGAAATGGGTTGAAGATTACAATTGGTGATTTAAAAGAAAGGTATATAGTATTTTTTCAGATTATTGATGATGTTATGAAGAATTTACTGTTGTTCAATTTCTGTCTCACCTTAGGGCAGCTTTTCTGCAACTGTATAGTACCAGATACAGTGCTACCATGACATCTAGTGGCCAGTGAAGAGGGAATGAAATACTTTCCACTCCTAAAACGATTTTCTAAACACTAGCACTTGTGAACTTGCAGTTTACACCTATCTATCTTTTGTATAATCACTGACAGAGGTGATAGTAATGATAAGACTAAAACATCTAGTATGGAATTACTTTCGAACAGAAAACAAGTCCTTTTATCAGGATAGGTTGCAATAATATTGCACGAGTGAAGAACTCTTAGTGAAGAACAGAATGCAGTATTTGTGACTGTTTTAATTAAGGCAGAATGAAATAAAAAGGCCAGACTCTTTGAAAGTTTCTACTGTGAAGGAGAAGAATAAATGGCCTAGTGGTGAGTAGTATGCAACATGCCATTTCCCAAAAGTGTAATTACTAATCAGAAGGAGTAATGCAGGGACACCTCTGTCTAATCTGTGTTTGGATGGGAAGTAAACAAACTATTGCCATAAGAAGCAAAAATAAATTTGGAAAGCTGATGAGGGCTGTGAAAATTACAGACTGAAGTGTGACATTCATCAAAAAAACTCTACCTCATACATTTATTAATAAAAATTGTACCACATAAATAACAATTTCCTCTATAGTTACCTAATTTTTTTTTATCTTAATGAAATTCTCACTTTTCATGAGAGAATTTATTGGAACAACTTCCAAGAAACTACTAAATATCTCAGAGTAAGAATTATAGGTCTTAAAGACAAAGGTGTGTCACAGAACACATTCAGTCAATGCTAAGTGGAAAAAGTGTAGTCATCCAAGTACAAATGGATTACACACCTACACAATTCCAAGGTCTTTTCTCACAAAAAAAAATTCCAAGCAGTATGAGTACCACAGTACTCCTATATAATAAGAACCAGTTCTTACTTAAATTCCTTATTATCCTTATTCCTAGAATTGTTTGTTTAGCACATCAATTGCCTTGAAAAGCAGCAAAATAAGAATTCCTTGTTTCTATCCTTCTATCCTGGAACATTCCCAGAGATAAAACTCTCTGTATTTATAAGTTCTACCTTCACAGCAACTCTAAACTAAAATTTTAGGAAGAAATAGAAGCATAAAACCCAATAAGATAAAATAAAGCAGATATTTAGGTTGATTTCCTAGAGAAATGAGACTTAATTTATACTCTTATGTCCATGACTCTAAACTGCTCTAGCTACTTTAAAATTCATTCCATAATCTCAAATAAATTTGAGAGGGCACTAGAAGTTTCAGGAAAGTCCAGAAAAAGGGTCAGGGGTGGGGGAGTGAGTAGAGAGAAAGAGAGATCAGAAGGAAAGTCAGGCAGATTTCCTTGTTAATTTTTGTAATTTAGCAATAGCTGGCTGGCTAGTATTTGTAACAATCTAATACTCCTGTCTCTTTCAGAAGGAGATTACTGATGAAGTCAGAGGCCAAAGATCACAAACCTGTGAGAGATTATGCTGTCTCAACCCCATTGTTTACAAACATTAACTTGTTTATTCTTTCCTTTTTGTATAATATAGTTCCATGCTTCTTTGATTTTTTTTTTATTAAAACTAAACCATCTAAGACAGTATGTAATAAAAAAAGACTTGAAATGTAATATAAAACTTTTACGTTATATCTGACCTTTTTATGTGGCTCTTAAAAGAAACTAAAGATCAAGTACAAACAATGTAGCTGAATTCTGAAGGTACTAGAGCAAATCTTCAGCTGAAATAAATTATCATAGGTTCACTGGTATTAGTATATCAAATTACACCAGCTGAGAATATTGTACTGTTTGTACAAGCTTCATACAAAAGTTAAGTGTATTACAGTAAGTTAATGGACCAATCCTATCTCCCAACCCAAAACAAATTAAAGACTTCACTGGTATAATTAAAAAAAAAAAAAAGAAAAACTACAGTGACAATTCTTTGTCACTATTATACTGGATAAGCTCTGAAATTGATCTCTTGGATTTAAAATTTCATCATTGCCTGAGTTCAGCATAGAGCCAAAGCATAGTTGGCTAAAGTTAAAAGAAGGTGAGAAAATTGTGGTGTTTGGGTTTTGGGGTTTTTTTGGGGGGAGGACGGGGTTGTTTGGTTGGTTGGTTTGGTTTGGGGTTTTTTGTTTGTTTGGGTTTTGGTTTTTGTTTTGGGGTTTTTTTGCTTATTTTGCAGATATTAAGAGCACCTTGACATGTCTAAGCAGCATAAGCCATTAGGTTATGCCCTTTATTTTCACAGACTAATCAGCTTGTGGAAAACTTCAAGACATTACATTTTTATTATGTTATTACTTGAGTCCAAAGGATTCTTATCTTACTTTTCATTATCATAACTGAAAGGAGAGAGAAAGGGAGTCAAAAAGCAGAGTCTTGGGAAGCTGGGTTTGCAAAATCTAACAACTGCACGTAGAAAGAAACAACAGCATTCCACTAATGGGAATGACACACTGGAATGAAGAGCTTTGGTAAAACATTAGATGCTGTAAAACCATCAAAATCATGCTATAAGTTTATACAAAATAACAAAGGACAGACATCTTGAGTTAACTTTTCAGTGTCTTAAAATGCACTTAGATTAGATCATTTAGAACTGTGTACAAACAGAAGTAGTAACTTTTCACTAGTCTGATGTAAAACACAAAATCAGGCTTTTCTGTACATATTATGTGAAGAAAACAGAGCATATTTAAACATGAAAAGAAAAATAGGAGCCCTTTTAGAAGATGGCATAATTTCCTAGGAAATCATTAGCAAATGACTAGCAATTCAGCTTGTACATTTCTGTAGGTAATAGACGTAATTCATAGTAAAGCAAAATATTAAAAGCCACCCCATCCATCTTACTCCAACTTTCAACTAATAAAAATATGCTTATTGGCTGAAAAGATATTTTGCCTACCATTATAATTTTTTTCACAACTGTATACTTATGTCTCTCCAACATATGAAGTACTGAGAACACTCTCGATGACAGAAACCCTGACCTATAGCGGGCTACAGAATTTTGATCCCTGTTTATGCACTTTTACAATTTCCATAGTGAAACTACACACAGCAAGATAAATTATCTAGTAACTAGTGAAAATACTCAAAAGGACACGTTTGATAATGTACATTTACATAACTTCTAATTACATAGCTTTTGCTCTAGTACGAAAATAAACCTCTACAGAGGGATCTGCATTAATTTATCACAAAATTTAAGGTTTTAGATTTAGAAAGAATGATGTGTAGACACTGAAAAATATTCCCAGAACAACTACACTACCTGTCACAAAAGAAAAATCTTTACTGAAAATGGCTACTAGTTATCTGCTACACTGATTGCTTGAGAACATTTGCTCCCCTTTGTTTAGAGTAATTCTGTGGAAATAATGGAATACAGCCTGACAAAGATTTGTTGTTTGATGACCAGGAAGGAATTTAACATTTTTGCTACTCAGTCACACACAACAGAATTAGGGAATTAGTACTTACAGTGATCCAATGTACTGAAAGTTACTCTCAATTCAGATGTTCAGCTGGTAATTTGATTAATAAAATTTTGCAAGAAATTTAGATCTTCTGCTAAATGCACTGTTTCATTGCTTATTTCCCTAC